CGATAATTTTATCAGTCGACTATGAATTAAAAATAAGTGTGATTCCACTTAAAAACAGTTTAAAATCACATATAAATTAGTAACACTGAATGGATAGTGACTAAATATTAATTAAACGTTATCATACGATTAATAACAGTTATTCTATTAATTTATCTGCGTAATATACATAGATATAATTTTTTAATTTAGTCATTGAATTTAAACCAAGTGAACAGTTTAATTAATTATTGAACTATGACTATTTTTTCTGTAAATGAAATAGTATAGTCAGTTTGTTTTCTTTTAACGATAAAAAATAACTTACCCCAAATAGTTAGATGATGATTTTGTACAATTTAAAAACCAAAGGACACTAGGCATGTACACTTGGACCTATCCTGGTTTTTCTTTTTTGAACAATTTTATCAGTTACTATTAGTTTACGATGAAAATCACAGTTGAATTACCGAAAGTTTTCACAAGCTTATCTAACTACTTTGTCGGGGATGTTAGATCCCCAGAATTCACTTGATAAAGGTGTTGATTTCGGATTTTATTCAGGTCCTGATCAGTTGACCTTGAGATTGCATTTCTCACCTGGAAAATCCTTGACTGTTATTGCTTGATGTAGTATTTTAGTACGCTATTTCCGTGGCTCTCCCAAGTACGTTTCAATAATGTATAAATACATTCGATTTTTGTGCTTGTGAACCTCATATTTTCTGAGTGATTGTAGAATACATTTTCTATGCCATATCAAAACATCTTCCTCTACTTAGTGAGGGGCCCTGGGATACTCGGCTTAGAATAACCTATCGTGTCACTGGATCATTTGTCTTCGCTTTCGTTTACCGACTAAGGTGAACTTGTAATAGTTTCAAGCATATCAACTGACGAGCATAACATAATTAATCACGATTAGCTTTTTGATATTTAATTTAGAGGTGAATTTTCCATAGTTTTATTGATCAACAGAGTTAATTAGATTGAAGAGAATGTGTATCAATATTTAACCAATGTTATTAAATTAAGATTGCCATATATCTTCATTAGAGTTTCATTGAAAAACGTTAATTAAAAAGCTTACACCTTCGTGACTAGATAATATTAAAATTGAATTCAATTTACGTTTGTGAATATGTGTTATTGAAGAAACAAAAACAACAACGAAATAGTTGTCTGTCACAATTGGACTTTGAACAGTTATTTAATATAGAATACGTAAATTTATTATGAAAATTATTCAGCAATTAAAACAAGTGTTGAATATTTTCCAATTAGAGTTATGGAGATTATTATCTTTACACATTTGAAATCATCAATTAATGATTGTTAGACCACTCATTTGTGTAGGCAGTAACTAACAAAGACAAATGGGTGAGGTCGCGCAAAATTTGTAGATTGATCAGAGTTAGACATTAACACTGTTGGATGCCGGCCCAGTGGTCCAGAAGTTAGACGTTCGCACACAAGACCCAAGGTCCTGGGTCCGAATCCTGTGATATGCAGGAGCCGTGGATGCGCGCAACTGATGAGTCCCATACCAGGACGAAACAGCCGTCCAGTGCTTTCAGGTTTCTAATGGTGGTCTAACGGTGATTAACTAATGATTTCAAATATGTAAGTAGTGAATAATATTTAAAATGATTGTACAACCACAATGAATAGCACATTGCTTTACTGAACTTTGAGACAGAGATTTTCTCTTAGGCATGAAAAATCTAATATCGATTTGTAATTTTTAAAAAAAATACTTTCAAATGTTTTATCAAATGAAGAACAAAAACCAAGTCTAATAATTGTTTAGGTCACAGTTTATTTGTCTTAAGCATTCATGTCGTTCCTTTTGTTAATCAGTAACCACAAAATATTGATTATTTCAAGAAAATTCTCAATTACTATTAGTAAATATTTATTATATAAAATTTATCAGTAGTCAGAATATAAACAGACAATCTACATGATTACTTCTACTGTCCATACAGTCACCAAATGAAATCAGCTTTCTCATTTGTTCATCCAATATACTAGCCAAAAGATTAATACAATCATTTACACTGGAAGCATTTCTACACTGGATTACAATTTGTTGATCAACATCATTTCTTGTGAACATTTTAACGTAATTTTTGATGTTATTGTTTCAAACTATTTTATATACATCGTACCAACTATGGTATTGTTCAGCATGTAACCAAACTTTGTAGGTTTGACAATTTTGTCGATAGTTTTTAACGTGAAACCTATACTGAACATACAAAAATTCTACATCTCAACTGAAGAATTGTGTGGGTTGATGCAACAACAAAAAACGTCGTCACATAGAAAACTATACTGAAATGTACTTTTGATTAATATCTCTAATTAATTTCAATTAGGAAGACATTTACTGGTGTCTGTATATTGAAATGGATGAATACATATACATACTAGTATAGGAGAAAAACGCCTAGTTTTTTTCAGTTCTTAATGATACAATGATTCTTATCTTTACAGACAGTTTAGACTATATATGAATTGTCATTTTATGATAGTTTAGTTTTCTGTCAACTATTTTAATTTCTATTACTATAAAATGCTTTTGGAGATGATTCAATTTACAAGTTGAATTGACCACAGCTAAACAACAGCAGTTGGAGGTCATAGAGATAACAGTGCTTAACTATGACCCTGTTAGCTATCGAACTCGGGAACTTAAAGTAAACTCGTTTTTGTATATATGATTCTCGCTTATATGTGTGATAGTTATTAATTGACATCAGTTTCATTTTGTTCAGAAACAAAACGAGAGTCATTTGAGTCGGACAAGACAGCTGATCGAGCGTAAAACCTATATGACTACACTATCTATTGATCCTATCCTATAGTAGATCTAACACGTCTAGCAAACATAAACTTCAATCCATTTCCACCGATTCACTGTACATTTATTACGCAGTGAATAAATTGTCAGTCAATCCAATTTAATTCTTGAATTAAAATATTTATGGATGAAAGTTCGTAGTAGGAGTGGAACATTTTTCCCATAGGACATTGAATTTAATTCTAAGTCACTGATACCTGCCATTCATGTCAATTTAAAAAAGAAAACCTTTTAATATTGTAAATGACAGTCTCTCACTAACAGTTACAGTGTTCAATATTTTTTTTTATGAACAATGCAATGACACTGCTAGCTATTGAACTTCATCAAAACCAGTTAACACAGATATTGACAATCATACAAAACACTGAATGCCAGTTTCAGTAAATTTATTTACAGTTCTATCAAATATTAAGCCATCGGCTTATGTATCTAACTAGGCGTAGGTTCCGAGACCTACCTCTGACTAACGAACTGGTACATCATATACTCTACTTAGAAACTAATGAACTGAATGACAAATCTTAATGTGATTTGTACCATCTCAGAAACTAGAATAAAACACGAACTAGGTAGACATCTTCCACTAAGATAACTTAGTTTGTTTAGAGATGAGCAGTTATATGTGCAAATAGCTAACGAAAACTAATTGAGGAGAGAAAGTCTCACTGACAGTTGGATTTCTAATACGAGTTTCCTTGATAAATCTGAACACTTGTCTACTGTTACCTCCTCAATCTAGGAGATTGGATCGATAGGAGGAACACTTAGGGATCAGTTCAACTGGCCTCGAGTCATTCTGAATGGCAACTACTGGTCGGGTGGGAGCTTATGGCGAACTGTCACCGGAATTCTTTACTTCAAGTGGTGTCTGTCAGGGCTATCCACTCTCTCCATTCTTGTTTAACTTTGTTGTAGACATCCTCTTAGAGTTAACAATATCCTCGTCAGACTTTTCATGAGTGGACCTTCTACCAGGAGTCTCGCCTATTGACTTAGAATATGCCGATGATATAGTTCTATTCGGTGAAGACGCTGACAAAATACAGTCTTCTGACTACCCTAAGTAACAATCCAACAACGTTCGGGATGCCGTTTAACCCCTCGAAATGCAAAAGGTTGTTTCATGATTAGCTTGCGTCGGCACCTGAACTAGTGATACGGAGTGAAGTAGTCGAGCGTGTGAACCGCCTCACTTACCTTGGGATTCTTATCAGCGCTGATGGCGTGGTGACTGAAGAAATCTCCACATATCAGTTCACTTCATCCTACTATACAGGTGTGAAACATGGCCATGGGTTCCGCGAGATGATAGTAACCGATGGTCAGAGACCTTAAACGACATGACAGTGGCGCAGGCGCATCCGCTGTGTTCTCTCAAATTCTAATCTTCTGAATTTCTTTCCAAATTTATTTGACTGAACCATACTTCTGGAATAATTTCTTCGAAACCTAATCTTCTCCGTTACCGGTAGTACGTCTGCTATCTCTGCGACTACTATAGCATTTGAACTGACAATTGTTTCTGTGCTTATGTGGTATGATAACCTGAAGTGACGTAGGAACGCACGTACGAAGTTCTACGTCCTAGCTGACTGACTGACCCAGGATCTTAGTTAGTGCTTTATCCCTTAGTTTGACAATAGGACTGACATAGAAAGTCCCATGAAGTTTGAAAGGAAACTTCTGAAGACCAGAAACAACACCCTGTGAACTTCAAACGTTATTACTGATGACAAGTGTGGGAGAATCAGAGCTATTATTAAGTTGGCAATAAAATAGAAATGATAAGTAGTGTTGATTGTGAACAAAGCGATGTCGAGTGCAGTTGAAGGTACGAGGGTGGTTGCCACTTTCCAGCAATGCACATCGCTAAAAAACAGTTCTGCAGTGATGTGAATAAGAAACCTAATCAGTAATGGGTTCAACAATGAGTGACTTTAGAGACTGATATATCATGTTTGTGTATTTTGACATTAGTTCGGTACTTTTAAAACCAGTGACAAGGGCCATTTAAGTTAAGTGTGGTGAGCTACTTTTACGCCTTGCTTTTACAAACACTCACAATCACTACATATCCTGGTTGTCTCAAAAATCTTACCGCTGTCAGTCAGCATTATCCTACCACTCTTCAACTAACTTATTTAACATAATGGAAACCAAAATAAAAGATTTCTTTAGTTAATATGACTAAACCGGCTCATTTATGTGCAAACATGACAAACAAGACTCATGAAAATTAGTCACATCAACAAAAGACTCCCAACGAAAATGATCAAAGTTCTAGGGGCTGATCCAACGCATACATTAAGGAAAAAAGAACAGACTTATACTCAAAGAAGCGATAATAATTTTACTGATTACCCTCTACAGATCAATAAATGTAAGAATACATAGATTATCATTGTTACCTAGACACATTAAGAAATCTATGAGCATAATAAAAATTGACGACTATTTCAGTCACATTATTGTAACATTCACATTCACGTATAGATAGATAGAATAGAATATGGAGATAATTAGCAAGGTTATAAGGAGAAAAAAATTATAGGAACTATAAAGACAAATGTAAGTTAATTCTTTGGACAAAATGACGTGGTTATACTATAAGGAGAGAGAGAGATAGAGAGAGATATGTCTTTCATCATAGTGAGACCGGATTTGACTTGTTGTTGGTTAAAATGTTTGTAGACATATAAATCGACCAATATGAGTATACCATGAGATAAGAAAAGAAGAAAAAATCAACACAAACACACACACACACGCAAACAATAAAAAATCATTGACTGAAAAATGATGCATAATTAAGTATGATGAAGAATAGTTAATAAAATGAAAATTTTTCCACTATTTTAATAATTGTCGCTGGTGTCGTTGGTGTTGACAACAATGATAAGAAAAGAATTAATTTTATGTATATATAAATGCATTAGGGGAAACAAAAAAGCAAACAAATGAAATATACATGAGTACATATATATATATATATATATATATATATATATATATCGTAAATACGACACCACGTACTAGAAGACACACACAATTAAATTTGTGTTTAGAAGAAGACGAAAAAGAAAAGAAAAAATCAAGGAATAAGACCAAATTGAAACAAGAATGTGTATTGTTGTTAGTGTTGTTGCTGTTGTTCATGTTGTCTTGTTAAAAGAGCACTAATGCAATAAAAAAAACAAACAAGGGAAGATGATGTAGTATGTGATAAAAGATTAAGAGTGATTTTATATATAATATATACAGTATTGTGATGTTATTATGATGTAACAAAATACATAGATATAGAATTTTGGAATTATTAGGAGAGAAAAAATTGATGAGTATTGAGTAGTAGTAGTAGTACTAGTAGTAAGTAGTAGAAGCGGGAAACAAACAGTATAAATGCATTTGAATTACATACGTACTATTATTATCAATCAACAGGATTTGAAATAAATATTCCATTGTATTGTATTGTTTTTTCTCTCTCAGGTAAACCAAATGGGAAGTAAAAAAAAAATTCATTCATGTTAAATTAACATTATTTGGAGGTAAATGCGCAACGATTCATTAAAATGAACTGGAGATGAAGAATGAGATGATTGGCATTCGAAATCATCTTTTTCAAGTATTTCTACGAGTATGATTAATGATTTTATATATAGTGCCAACATTAACGCAAACATTAACTGAGAGAATACATTAATGACGAGAATAAAAACAAAACGAAAAGTATTTTGTATAAAGAAGAAATGAGAAAAATTTTTAATGCATTACAATTCTAGGAAATTTAACGCATAGATCATCCATCATCAACATTATCGCCGACAACATTATAAAAAGTGGACAATGATCTCCACAATTGAGACAATTCAAAAAGAAAAAAAGGAACAGTTGCAGTAATGAGTACACTAACAATAGTACTGACAATAACTGTAATCGTTGTAAATAAGAACAGAAGCATAAACAAACCAAGTAATAACTGACAGTTCATACCGGATAGCTGGGATACGACAAATCATGTACGTAGATCAATCAATCATAAACAGATGAGAAAAGACATTATCGAGATGAATGATCTCAGATCATCATTACAAGATATTTATTGCATTCTACACACAAAAATCCAAGGAATGTTATCGGTTTATCGTTGAGAAGTGAAGATAACCTCGTACAAATTCGCACGTTTATCTCCGGAACCGGTAACCACAAATTTGTCATCCAAAGATATGTCACATGTAAGAACTGATGCAGCTTCTTTTGTCTAACAGTTTAAAAAAACAAAGTAATATTAAATAAAATTTAGAAATAATCTATAAAATAATAAACTATGAATTAGTTAACTACAAACATGCGCTTATCACATAGGACCATGTCGATAAAAAAAAGTTTGATTCTGTCAAAAAAGTTTCACAAAGGTGATATTAACAACGATAAAATGTGTACAGTCATTAATTTGAAGGAGGGTGTTATCAATTAATGGAAGAGTACCAGATATCTCCACTGTTTAAGGAAGGTAAAATAAAACTACCCGGGTTCTCAAACTGAAGTAGGCAGAGTGTGACTCGGACCTGTGATCACATAGTTGCAACTTAATCGCCTAGACCGATTAGCAACTACCGTACAACAACCTTGACTAAATTAAAGCATGTCACAATTTGTTTATTCTATGAGTGTGCTTTTATGGGTATTTCTTGAGAAACCTGAAAAGGAAGATAGATTAGTGTTGATCTGAACGACCTGTGAGCGCGACCGCAGTGCCCAAGGGACAATTCAGTCAGTCAGTCAGTCAGTTGCAACGTAGAACTTCGTACGTATGTACATAAGTTCATGTTGCCATACCACATTAGCACAGAGACGCAAATGTCAAATCAAATCTCATAGTGATAAAGATAGTAAAGGTATTAATGGTAATGAAGAAGACTAGAGTTCGAAGATATTATTCAAAAAATATAATTCAGTGAGATAAGATTATAAAGACAAAGGTAGAGGTGCTGGCTAATCCAGAAGATTAGGATTTGAGAGAGCTCAAAGAGTGGATGCACCTGCGCCATTGCAAACGATTTTGAGCCATGTCGTTCAAGGTCTCTAACCATTGGTGACTTTCGTCTCGCGGACCCCAACCAGGTAGTCTACATCTACCAACATGACTCAGTCCACTTGTCAGTGACTTCATGGATTTCTGCCATGTTTTGGTCTGGCCGCCCCTAGCTTTCTTCCAACCTACTCCTACACCACAAAACATAGCTCGTCGGGGCAGTCGGTGGTTAGGCATACGTAACACATGTCCCAACCACCTCAACTGATGAAGTTTCAATATTTCATCTATTGATCTGCCATCCTTACCTAGTACTCGTTTCCTAACGACAGCATTGCTTACTCGGTTGTCCCACGATATACGAGCAATGCTTCTTAAACATCTATGATCGAATACTAGTAACCTACGAACATCTTCTACTCTTAACGGCCATGTTTCACAGCTATATAAGAGAACGGAACGAACTGCTGCGCAGTACACCCGCCCTTTGGTTAGCGAACGGATATCACGCCTACGCCATAAGTGACGCAGGTTGGCAAAAGCCAATCGAGCTTTCTGTATCCGAGCTGAGATTTCGTCAGTCACCAGACCGTCAGCACTGATGAGACTCCCAAGATAAGTGAAGTGATCAACACGCTCGACTACTTCACTCCCTATCACTAGTTCAGGTGCCAAAGCAACCCAGTCTTGAAGCAACATTTTGCATTTCGAGGGGGAAAACCGCATCCCGAACATGCTCGCATTGTTGCTTATGGTAGTCAGAAGACTCTGCATTTTGTCAGCGTCTTCACCGAATAGAACTATGTCATCGGCATATTCTAGATCATTAAGCGACTTTCCTGGTAGAAGGTCAACCCCTGAAAAATCTGACGAGCTTAATGTTAACTCTAAGAGGATGTCTACGACAAAGTTAAACAAGAATGGAGAGAGTGGACAGCCCTGACGGACACCACTTGATGTAGAGAATTCAGATGACAGTTCGCCATATGCTCTCACTCGACCAGTGGTGTTCGAGTAGAGAGCTTGTATAAGGTTAATGTACTTCTTTGGTACACCTTTCAATGACAGACACTGCCACAGAACCTCACGATCCACTGAGTCGAATGCCGCCTTAAGGTCCAGGAACACGACTAACGTCGGACGTCTAAATGTGTGTCTGTGTTCCAGGACCTGTCGTAGTGTGAAGATGTGGTCTATACAACCACGTCCAGGTCGAAAACCAGACTGGTTTTCTCTAGTCTGCTCTTCACGAGCTCTAGTTAGACGTCTAAGTATAATCGAGGCTAACAATTTAGAAACTATATTAGTTAAACTTATTCCCCTGTGATTGTCACAAGAGGACTTCTGTCCTTTCTTGTAGATTGGGACAATTAGCGACTGAGACCAGTCAGATGGGATTACGTCCAGTTCCCAGATTCTACCTAGGATCTCGGTCAGTCTGACTGTTAAAATTGGACCACCATACTTAAACATCTCAGGGGTAAGCCTATCGGGACCTGCCGCTCTACCTCCCCTTAGATTTCCTATAGCTTTCTCAACTTCATGTAAACTGGGAGGACTTAAATCGATTTGCCATTCAGGATGACTGGAGATCGTGGGCAACCGAAGTGTGGCTCCAGGCCAGTTGAACTGATCCCTAAAGTGTTCTGCCCATCGGTCCAGCCTCCTAGATTGAGAATGGATAATAAGACCATCCTTTTCCGAGATAGTCTCACTCACATTCGGGTTCCTAATACCGGTTTCTTTAATAAGGCGGAAAAGTTGTCTAGTGTTGCCTATCGCCGCTGCCTTTTCCATCGCTTTTGCTTTCGCCACCCACCACTGTTCACGGTCGTTACGTAGGCTTTTTATAAGTCTGCGCCTAAGCTGACTACGCTCTACATCATGTTCAGAGTCAGGTGGGATGCGTTTTCGAGCATCCATCAGTTCGGTGGATGCGACTGATATCCACGGCTTCATCTTAGCCTTGTGGTTTACCCTGCTAGCAGATACCATTGCTGTTTCCACAGCCTTCTTGATATGATTCCAACCTGCTTCAGGATGGGAATCACTTGCATGGCCGCCTAACTGTTTTTCTAGTTCCTCCTGAAATATTTTCTTAGTTTGATTATCATCAAGTGAAGCCCTAAGAGGCTTGCTTACGGTGTCTTTCCTACGTCCAGCAAGCCTCAAACAAATACGTGCTCGCACTAGGGCATGATCTGAATCTAAACATGTGCCCCAGAACGAGCGACAGTCCTCTACCGAACCCCTCCATCGGTGGCTGATGGCGATATGATCTAGTTGTGTCCAACGTTGAGACGACTTCGGGGGTCGCCAGGTCAAAAGGTGTTTTTCTTTATGCTTAAAATTAGTGTTTGCTAGAAATAGTTGGTTATTTGAGCACAGTTGCAACAGACGGTCGCCATTGTCTGTTCTTTGAGCCGCCAGACCGTAACATCCACCTAGGTGTCTTTCATTTTCACTTAGTCTACCTACTTGTGCATTGAAGTCACCAGCCATTATAACTATATCAGAGCGCTTAACTTTTTGGAGGAGGTCCGAAAGCTTTCTGTAAAACTCATCTTTTACATCATCTGGGCTGCAGTCAGTGGGGGCGTAGGCTGATATGACGAAGAGGCAACGGCGAGTGTCCCTATCTTTCCGAGTCCTTACTGTCCCGTTTAGTCGGACAGCACACAAGCGACTATCTACAGGGATCCAGTCAAGGAGAGATTGTTCTGCCCTACGACTCAATGCTATACCTACACCGGCGAGGCCCCTAGAAGCAGCATCAGGGCTACCGGATACACGAAGGGTAAATCGAGCTGCTTCTTTATCTTGACATGGTGAGGTGAAATGAGTGATGCTACTCGGATCCTGTATGCGCGTTTCCGAGACGCAGCACACATCGATGGAACGAGATTCTAAAGTCCTAGCTAATGATGCCTGTTGCCCTATTTGACACAATGTCCGTACATTGAATGCTCCAACATGTAGTTTGGAACGGGGTTTAAGGAGACCAGGAACGACGTTTCGCAAACTCGCATCGTTTGCATTAGCTGTGCACTGTAATGAATGAATGTGAGAAGAGTTAGTTGTGGAGATAAGAGAGGTATTAGGGAATGTAGGAAGGATTTGATTTTGAACAATTTGGTCTCGTGTGCTGTTACGGGTATGAGGGCGGTTATCACTTCCCGGCTGCCCACACCGTGGAAGGTTGTTTCTTGAGGAACCTGAAAAGGAAGATGGATTAGTGTTGGTGCGTGACCGCAGAGTCCAAGGGACAACTGCTTGAGGCCGGTCACGCACGGCCTTTTTATGAGAAGCTTTTTGAGGATTAGTTCCGTTCTTAAAGGCCCTTAGTGGGCACCCTTACCCAAGGAGACGGAAATCCGTGAGTTAGGGGAGGTGTGACATTTTTAGGGCCGACCTTTTCTAACCCTTCCTTCCTTGTGAGAAGGCAGCATCGCTGCAGATGCTGGTTGTCCGAGGGAAACACCTTACTGCTGTCACACCCCTCTGCAGTCAGCAGTACGACTTCGCCCTCAGACCTTGGGTAGCTGCTTTTAGTCTCATCGTTCTCCAATCGACCTGCCTGGCATGGTAGGACCTGCAGGAACATGTGTTCCAGCCAGTATAGCTCGGCTGGGTCATCACGATAGGCAAGCCCGACCACCACGTCAAGGTAGCAGCTTCGGTCGGGCCAAGGGACAATTGCTTGAGGCCGATCACACACAGCCTTTTTATGAAAGGTGTTTTGAGTATTAGCTCCGCTCTCAAAAGCCCTTAGTGGGCAGCCCTTACCGCCGGAGATGCGAAGCCGTGAAGTAGGGTGAGATGTGACATTTTTAGGGTCGACCTTTTCTAACCCTTCCTTCCTTGTGAGAGGGCAGCCTCGCTGCAGATGCTGGTTGTCCGAGGGAAACACCTTACTGCTGTCACACCCCTCTGCAGTCAGCAGCACGACTTCGCCCTCAGATCTTGAGTAGCTGCTTTTAGTCTCATCGTTCTCCAATCGACCTGCCTGGCAAGGTAGAACCTTCAGGAACATATGTTCCAGTCACGATAGGCAAGCCTGACCACCACGTTAAGGTAGCTATGAGTGAAAAGTATATTCTTCAATACTACAAACTTTAGTACTGTATCAGATACCAACTAATTTACACAGTACTATTTGTCTTTTTTAAAAATACACGCTTTCAGTCGCCTATACGATTGGGTGGTCAACAAATGATGTTACCAAACTAATAATATAAAGATTCATTAATTCTTAGATATTTTTAACGGTAGAACAGCTTTTTTTGTTCAGAAGCTGGAAAAACAACAAATGTCACTTTAAAAAGTACATTGTAACAGGCAGAAAGCAACGCTAGCATTGATGGGCGTTGTCATTCATAAATATTTTAAACTTACTACAACAAACTATTTTTTAAAAAGAGACCAAATAGACCATTTTTTCATACTAAAAATTAGTGTTTGCCTTTTGAAGAATGTCAGTTGAAGTTAAATGTGGACGTGATGTCTCATCAAAAGACCGTGCTAAATTCGTGAATTATAAGTCAGTCAGTCAGCTACAACGTAGAACGTATGTACATCCGTTCCAGTTGCCATATCACATTAGCGTAGAGATATCATCGTCGGTTCAAATCCCATAGTAGTGGGAGTTGTAGCAGTATTGGTAGTAATCGAAAGGATTAGAGATCGAAGATATGACACGAGAAAATGTCAACCAATGAAATTTAATTTTAAAAAAGTAAACAAGTTGTGAGGAATTCAGGTCAGAAATTGAGAGAAGACAATTGATGGATGCATTTGTGCCATTGCAAGCAATTTTGAGAAATGTCATTCACAATCTCCGACCACCGATCACGATTGTCTCGTGGAACCCAACCAAGTAGTTTATACCTACTAACATGGCACAGTCCAGTTGTCAATGACTTCATGGATTGGTGCCATGTTTTGGCGTGGCCGGTCCTAGCTCCCAGCCTACCCCTACACCCGACAACATCACTTGTCGAGGTTTATTACTTCATCAATAGATTTGCCATCGTAAAATTATAAATACATGACCTAATGTATACCAAATATAAAGAACACAAGTGGAGAGTAAAAAACATGCAGTACAGTATACTGACTACACATAGCTTAACTGACTAAATATGTTAAATTTGTTCAGTTCATTATTTAAATACTATCTTAATTTGAGTAATTTGTATTGTTTAGACGTGAAACACAAAAATTAAAGTACGATTAGAAGATTATCATCACTGGTTTACTACTGGTACACTTTGAGATGTTAAGCTAAGAATAAATCGCTGTACAATAGACATTTGATATCAGTACAACTGTCAATCATTATTTCCATGACTCTTACAGGTCACCAGACAATAAACACTGATACAAACGAATTTTTGTTCTTCAGCAAGATTTAAAGGTAGTGAACGATAAAGTATCCATTGATGAAAATATATGGTTGAGAATGGAAGTTAACCTACCAAACGTAAATTCAAAACGGTTGGTTCACAAGTAAAATTACATTTAGTGTGAATACACACTAATTCCCAATTATGAGAATAATACATGTATTGTATTTGCTTAGGCTTATGGCATGTTAGACTGCTCGTGAAAAGTAAATAGAAGCGTTCCTAAGAAATTAACAGTTTATTATTGCTTACTAAAGGTTACAAAAGGTAAAGTAATATTAACAAGAATAAGTTGTCGCTTTATATTTAAATTCGATATACTTAAGAACAAGGGTGTATTAAGATAATTAGAATGAATTTTTTTGAATCAAGATACATTATTACCACATTAATGAGATTACTTACTTCCAGCAGACAGGCACCATACGGAGTTCGCCAAGCATTAACCTGATGATCTTTACCTGTCGTAAGGAACCAGTCTGCATGATGTGCAAACCTTAAAGCCAGCACACAACTTTCATGATGCGTAAGACGAAAATGTTGAGGTTGGTTAGGACCAGTGTAATGAGATACGGGGGAAGGATTTCCACTTCCACTCCCAGATTCTTCACGCGGTACATTATAATTGACAGGGAATGCTGAAACAGGTGGTCCATCTGGTCCTATAGCTAGAACTTCAACTTCAGATGACTCCAAACCAACCGCTAACCAACTTTCGTTTGATAAAGACTTATTGCTTCCACTGACAAACGACTGAGGACTAACTGCATCGCGAGTACCTCCTCCCCCAGCACCACCACCACCACTAGAAGTAGACTCTCCATCAACAGAAACCGGAGAAACTGATTCAGCTTGGCGTCGAGTTGGAGTCATATGTGAAGACAAGCCAAGTGAAAAAACTTGCGACTTGAACTCAATGTGATAAACATCTCGTGAAGGCTGTAAATTCGGAAATCAATAAGAATTGTTGGTGGATGCATGTGGTTAGTTTAAAAATCGCAATAAAATATTACAAACAGCAAAAAGTCAACTAGATTCACACAAATAAAATGACCAAAAAATGAAAGACTACAAACTAATTTCAATAGTAAATGGATAGGTGAAATACTAGTAGAATTATAATCACTGACCAAAACAGTGAAGACATATTCTACAATATGCAACGCATGAGTGATATTGCTAAATAATCTGTGATAAAATATTAAATTTATAGCTTAATGAGTAAGAGACCAAATAAACTGGTGACACAGTTGTGACTTCAATCATAGTATTAATTAGTTAGAGTATAAAAACGTAGCAAATAAATTACATCGAAAAGATTTGCAACTTAGGCTGTATATACTATTAAGATATTCTAGAGAAGAGAGACAAACTAAGCGCTTATTTCTCCTTACTATGTATTAGAAAAAAATTCTACCGTACATCTGAAGTTTTAAAAGTTCCTATGAATAGTATGCAGGATACCGTCAAAAATGCAGTGACCCGTCGATGGATAAAAAGCTACTCTCTATCACGTCATATAATTAAGCGACCACTTATCTTTTACGTTTGAATGAAAATGAGTAACGCCAAGAATAAATATGACTAGTTGAACCGTGAATTTTTCAAATGCCTTTCTTACTAATTCATACAAAGATACAACTTGATCAAATTATAATGTCTGTGAACTTTCTGAGTTCAAAATCAAGAATAGAGTGAATACAGAAAAGAAACAAGTGAAAAAGATAACGACCAAAAAAACTACAAAAGAAAAGCCATTAAAAAGTCTCACTCTATATCTGTGTATACAAAAGTGTCTACAAACAGAATAATAGAGAATGAAACATTGCTAGTTGGTCAGGCATATACATACATTAACCAAATAACCAATTTTATATTGCATAGTGAACATATGTACATATATATGCAGGCAAACATAATCAGGATAGTTGTTTATTTTATATCAATGGTGACAATTGAAGATAAAAAAAAATATGTGAAAACTAAAAACAAAATTTGAAAAACCAAAAAAACGGAAAGAATCAAATATTAATTAATGTCTCTCTCTTTCTGTGAGAAAAATATTTCTAACATATACATCATATATATGCTAGTGGCGTTTAAAAACTACTGGTACAGACAGGCAATAATGACAATGAATCACAAACAATTCAACTCTATCTAGATGAGGAAGAGAAGGAAAGTAACATATAATATTTCATTCTGTGTATCTTTTTTTTCCTAATAAAGAAAATAACTGAGATGAGATTACAGAAATGAGATGTGGGAAAGACATCAGTTTGTTTTTTACGTGGTACAGTTTTTTATACAAAAAGAAATAGAGATAATCTCATTAAACAAAGAATAATCTGTTCTCTATTTAGGTTAGTTAGTTAGTTAGTGAGTGAGTGAGCATAGCATTGAGTTGAGAATAAATCATAGTTGAATGAATATGAACAACACATAACACTAACAGCAAGTTCTCATCAATGATCAAAAATTTAGAATGTAAGACTTTTTTATACCAACCAGTTAGTAAGTAACACAAATAGGAGATATTGAAATCATTCATTGAAACAACACACATGTACATAATCATCTTCAGAAGAAAGATGAAAAAAGATGTATAGATAATTTTTAGTAATATTTAATTAGACAAGAAGATGGAAAAAAGAAGAGGACAAATCGCTAAAATAGATAGGATAGGAAAAAGAATTGAAATGACTTGGTTGGTTAGGAAAAAAAACTTAAACAAACACACACAATTAGTAAGTTTTTCATTCTCAAATTAAAAACAAGGATACAAATAAGTTACACAGACAAAAATACTTCTAAAAGGCAAGAAGAGAAAACCAGGAAAGGAATATCGATCGGTAGATAAATATGCAATTTTTAAATCAACATAAAACCAAATTGAAAGTAAACGTTGAACATGATAAAATCAGTGGAAGAACACTACTAACGAAAATATAATCATAAAATGAACCTAACAAATAGTTGAACAATCAAGTTAAAATTCAAAGAAATGAAAGGTCTTTCAATGCATATTTAATTTAGTCAGTATTTATATGTTAATTGCTAGGCATTAAGTCGAACAAACAACTAGTCCGTGAAGGTTGAGCTTTTTAACTGGATTCATTGCCTTTTCTAACTAAAACTCTATACTTATCATGGACCCGTAAAAAGTACAAAATGGATGTTCATCATACACTTACATTTCCACGAATATCCCAGCATCGAACTTTATGATCTAAACCACCTGTCCATAATCTATTTCCATCCCCAGTAATTTCAACACAGGATGTCCCATCAACGTGACCATGAAACTGGTGAACGATACTTTGATTATGTATGTCCCAAACAGCAACTTGACCATCGGAGCAGCAACTAGAAACAGAAAATTATTTGTGCAAGGAAATAATTTAAATAAACCAAGTATCAAATTATATAAACGAATATATATAGTCCCACAATTGGAAAATGATGTGTTCCTAAACAAACTTAACTCTTGATTAGATAAGCCGAAACCATAGGTGAAGCAATATAAATTGAGAAAACTTGATTAAAAGAAGTTAACATTTCCGGATTGCATGATAAACTATATTTGACAAGACGTTATGAATACGTCACGCAGGATAAGGATTAATCAAAGCTGAGTTCGAGTAGCAGACAGCATTGCTACTTAAAGACTGTCTCAATGATTTTAAGGAAATAAAACGTGTGATGTACATTTTTTCCAACAGATCGACTTAGAGGCTATGTAATAGAAAATTCGAATGCTCTACAAATAGTCGAACTGGTTAACGAACATTAAGTTTACCGTACTAGGATACATCAGATTAGAGTAAGGTATGAATCGTAAAAATTTAAGTTTCCAATATGTATGATCGATAAATGTAATGTGAAATTACCTGTAGGCCAGTTTTCCATCAAGTGAGAGTGCAAGTGCATAGCAAGCAGGCGCTTCAAACGTCAATTCAGCTTTGCGTCGTCCTGGACCATTTAAATCCCAAACAGTAAGCGCGTTAGATTCACCCCCAACTATAAGACCAGAAACATCCTATAATTGTAAAACGAAAAAGATTAGTAAACAGAAATTCGTATCTTATTAAAATTTTTTCAGTAACTTCGACGTGATTAAGTTATCTTACCGGGAAAAGTTTGATAGATCTAACATAGCTGTCGTAGCACAGACAGTCAAAAGTAGCAAGAGGAGTAATATCCCTACTAGTAAGTGAAGCATTTCCAGAGTTAGCACTAATTGATGCAAGATCCCATAATTTGACGCTGCCTCGAGCACCAGTATAAGCAAAATGAGCAGGAATAGAAGTGGTGTGATTTGAACCTGGAGAACCGACTGTAACACTATCCGTATCACTCCCAGCATTACGAGACCCAAGACAGGCATCAGCTGAAGCAAACGAAGAAGCACGTCCTACCGGACATGGGCCTAGAGTGACAGCACAAACAACGTCACCATGAGGTAAACTAGCAAGGTGTTGAAGTCGACGAGGTAATCCCTGAGCAGTAGTTGCCCCGGGAGCAGACGCCAATGCACACGGTCGAGTTTGACCATTAGGTAACACTATGAATGAATAAGCACCGGGACCCGATTGAACACTAAAACAAAAGAAAGAAACGATAGAAAATTTATGGGCTTTGACTTACTTATTCTTAATCAATACATAAATTATACGTTCATCTAATACCCGTCTAAATATGGATGCATTTTATATTATTATTACAAGTCATCAAAATATAACATAAATATCTAGCTCCACGCACAATATAACATCGGTTTAAAAATAATGTGGTCTGTGTTTATAAACGCATAAGTTTAAACATACTTAATGGTATTCAAACGGTTTCGCGTATACTTTTTTTAAAATAATCGACTGGAAACTATCTTAAATGGAAGACCGTTTCAAATTTAGGTCAGTTTTAGTAAGCCTTTTACCAAGTACAATCCTATATAAAAGTCAATATCTTAAATTATAAATGTATTTGCTACTTAAACAAATTAAATGCCGCAAGACGTGACTACTACTTAGATTACCGAGCAGACACTAGGGTCAAATAAATCTGAACTTACAGTATAAAATGGGTACTTTTTGTGAATATAGATAATATGTTCAATACAAACTAACAATAAAACATGGAATATTCTCGGGACAGCGAAAGACAGTTTTTTTTATTTGTTCGAACTGTGGATAGATATTCTCGAAGGGGGGAACTTAAGAAATATCTGTGAATAGGATATAGTAAAACGAATGTAACCACGCTAGTATTAAAAAAGAAATTCTCAACGAAAAAAGCCCGTTCAGTCAGTCCTTACAAATTTGTAACTAAAAAGATGATAACAAAAATACCTAACACTTATAAACGGATTGTATAATTGAGGTCCACTTAACGTAAAAGTAATTAGTGGTCTAAACAGACAAATTTAACCGTGTGTCAATGAAATTATTACATTGTCTTAAGACAGTTAGATAGTGTCGTTGGTCTTCAGTAAATACGGTTAGTAAACTGTAAATTGGATGTTACGCAACAACTCCGTAACATTTTTACTTCCTTTCATAAGTGATAAATGTAGTTAATATTGGCGAAAACCAAATATTCGGTAAATATTTACAGATAACGGCTCTTACTGGTACAAACACATAATTTCTGAAAGAAATTCTACGAAAATGGTGCTATTACAAAAGCTTACTTTTTAGATGAATGCTTCCACCGGGTTGAAGCTGGGGCGTCAGATGCCTAAAAAATATGAAGGAAGAGAGCGGGGTACGAGAATTATTGATTGAGCTGAAGGCAGCAGGATGGTACTAAATTGAACTAAATAACTTAGTCAGATGATGGAAATCATCTTACAGCATTACTGTGATAACTAACTATCAACCTATTGGTAAGGATAGATCACGGCAAACTTTCTAAGATGTTTAGAGAGAACTAGCACTACATGTTTAAAACATTCACAAAAGTCAAATTTGATTTCGTTTTATTCATCATAGCACGATATACTAGCAAAAACTCTAATCTCATTGTGAATATTTTGGGGTAGAAGCTTACTGCTCTGTGCAATATAGTATGAAGTACACATCTGAAAATTAAATGCAGGATAAATAGAAATAGTAAAAACAAAGCAATGTTTATTTTTTCTCTTTTAGTAGAAAAAGGGATTACAAAACTGTCAAATTAACTGTAGTATCTCTCCTAAATAACTGTTACAAAAACATCGAAAATCACATTCCCTATTTAAGAATGAGTGTATTAAAAGAGATGAAATTAAATAACACTAGACACAAAGTGCCAACCATATGTAATTGATTCAGTCTTTAGAGAATAATTCTGTTACGTCAGGTGATATGAAGTTAGTTAGTCGGTTAATATGACGACCTAAAAGTTATAGGAACTTGTAGTGCCTTATTTTATTCTAGACATAACACCAACAATCTTCCATGCTATTTTTTGAATACATAACTCTGTGATCCATGATTAAGCATATGAAGACTGACATAGGATAGTACAGAGAAATTTTTTGGGAAAACTGAACGCGACAAGTTACTAAATCTGGCATGTGGAAAATTTCAGAATTTTATTTCTCGAAATAATGGTAGCTTGTATACCCATCAAAAAAGAATAGTAACACCGCTTTGCAAAGCCACTTAATCAGATTGTTGCTGTCACTTTGGATATATCATCATCTAACGGTTGATAAGCAGTGGCTAAGGATAGTGTTAAAATAACTCCGTGATAATTAAGTTATGAAATACAAAATACAAAAACGACAAATACGTATGTCAAAGTGAATTCATTCTATTCGCTAAATTTCGTAAAAACAGAGAATATCAAGAGGAACATTGAAGGCAGTAAAACCTACCTGAGACGGACGCCCAGAATTCGAGTTAGCAGTGCCGACCGCAGGAGCACTTGAAGTAGTTGGATAAGTCGTGTTGTGACCGGAACTAAGCTGTGGACTAAGGTCTATAAAAGAGGATAAAGAAAACGAAACAGATCCTTACAAGTTAGTTTATAGTAGCACCTGATGACTTATTCTTTAAACGTTAAGGTTGACGCTTGTTTCTCAATGAAGTTTACAAAAAGTTCACATGAAAAAGCCCGAATATCTTAATAGCCCTGTTTCGCACCCGTATAGTAGAATGAATTGAAAATACGCGCAGTAAACTCGTCCCTTGGTTAGCAGACGGATATCTCAACTACGCCATAAGTCACTCAGAAGTTTATTACAAACGACTGAACAATGCACGTGAGTTAAACTAACAGTTCTAGTGATTTCATATGTATGCAGAAAATGTAATAAGTTTACTAAACCTTGAAAAGAAAGTTGAGAGTTTATCGGATACGTTCATCACCGAAATTTCTCATTTGGAAGCAAAACTACATGAAGATCTTCAAAATAACTTACTGAGAGGCTGACGACCGCTCCCACTTCGGCGACCCGTACCCCCGACATTTGAACCTCTCTCCTGTTACAATAAAGTGCAAAAGAAAATTCCCAAAAGCAATGCAACAATCGACCAAACAAATAAGTTTATTTTTATATTATATAAACTTTGTGTTAGAATTATAGTCATGCGATTCAAGCTGAATTGTTTTCAACTGAATAGAAACCATATAATAAAATAATACTTAACGAACTGGAAGGTAAGAAGGTGGTTAGAAAAGTACTAGTTTTTGGGACATGAACCCACCTCTTGAAACAAAAGTTCAACTACTGTGATGAATTTGAATATAAATACAATGTATCAGCCAACAACATTATTTAATGTTACTGATACTGATTCAAATTATTTCAAACCCGTAAGTTTTAGTCATATAGTCAAAAAGGTCATCGAGTAAATGATGACTAAAGAACGATAATACTAAAGAAAAAAATTGCATATGCACCTGTTCCATTTGCAATGAATCTGTTCTAACAAATACAGGAACTATGCAAGATTTAGTACTGAATGAAATGAAATTCTGATAATAGTATTTATTGTATGAAAGGTTACAGAGTAATATTCGTTTTATGAAGGCTAACGATGGTATTTGGCTCTCTAAGTAGGAGCTGGCGAAACGGAATAGATGCGTCTAAATAGTCGAAAATAGATCAGAATCAATAAAACCTAGGCTAAATGGTAATCACTAAAGATAAGGAAATTGCGACTAAAAAACTGGACAAACGTAACTTACTTGGATAGTGCGCATATCGTCATTCATTTTCCAATTGCCATTTTCGTGACCACCATCCTAAAAAAAATAAGTTTGTATATAATACTTAGGTGAGTTTACTTTTAAGTACTGATGTGAGTAATTAACAAAGACGTTATAACCGATGGGAATCAACCACTACACTAGTTGTACAGATCTTTTAGTAGCCACATCAATTGACACTTCAAACAGCGCAAAGATAGTGACATCTAACGGCTTCAACTTGCGAAGAGTTTGCTACCTGACAAGCACAGAGAGATCGTAATGACAAGGCTACACCAAATTTCTTATTCATTCGAGATTTTGGTTAAGCCAAAACCTTATACTATTGCTCTCTTTGTCAGAATAAAGCAATTTAAACAAAAACCAACTCTCTAAATAAAACTAGCTAGGACAAGAATTGGAAAATAAAGTTGTCAAGACAGACTAAGCTTACGCTTGTAGAATAATCAGAAAGTTTGCTTTTACATGAAGTATGGGCTAATCATACTATTTAGAACGACAATAAGTTTTGCGATAACGTCATCTAGTGAGAGAAAGCAACAGTACTAAAAGCATCCACTTGTAAATATTTTCCATCAGTCAGTCAGTTGCAACGTAGAACTTCGTACGTAAGTACATCAGTTCATGTCGCCATACCACATCAGCACAGAGATATAATTGTCAATTCAAATCCAATAGTAGAAGAGGTAGTAAAGGTATTAGAAGTAATCGGAGAGGTTAGAATTATTAATCACGAAGTATGATTCAATGATATAAGTTTAGAAAGTCAAAACTAGAGGTGTTGAAGAACCCAGAAGATTAGAATTTGAGAGAGCTCAAAGAATGGATGCACTTGCGCCATTGCGAACGATTTTGAGCCATGTCATTCAAGGTCTCTAGCCATCGATTATTATCATCTCGCGGACCCCAACCAGGTAGTCGACAATTACCGACATGGCTCAGTCCACTCGTCAATGACTTCATGGATTTATGCCATGTTTTGGTCTGGCCGCCCCTAACTTTCTTCCAACCTAGTCCTACACTACAAAACAAAGCTCGACGAGGCAGTCGGTGGTTAGGCATACGCAACACGTGTCCCAACCACCCCAACTGATGAAGTTTCACCACTTCATCTATTGATCTGCCATTCTTACCTAGTACCCGTTTCCTAATAACAACGTTGCTCACTCGGGTGTCCCACGATATACGAGCAATGCTTCGAAGACACCTATGATCGAAAACCAATAACCGACGAGTATCTTCTACTCTCATTGGCCATGTTTCACAGCCATAAAGTAAGACGGAGCGAACCACTGCGCAGTACACTCGTCCTTTAGTCAGCAAACGGATATCTCGCCTACGCCATAAGTGACGCAGGTTGGCAAAAGCCAATCGAGCCTTCTGTATCCGTGCCGAGATTTCGTCAGTCACCAGGCCATCAGCACTGATGAGACTCCCAAGATAAGTGAAGCGGTCTACACGTTCGACCACTTCACTCCCTATCACTAGTTCAGGTGCCGATGAAACCCAATCTTGAAGCAACATTTTGCATTTCGAGGGGGAAAACCGCATCCCGAACATGCTTGCATTGTTGCTTAGGGTAGTCAGAAGACTCTGCATTTTGTCAGCGTCTTCACCAAGTAGGACTATGTCATCGGCATATTCTAAGTCAATAAGCGAGCCACCTGGTAAAAGGTCTACTCCTGAAAATTCAGACGAGGATAAGGTTATTTCTAGGAGCATGTCTATGATAAAATTAAACAAGAATGGAGAAAGTGGACATCCCTGACGGACACCACTTGAAGTAGAGAATTCCGGTGACAGTTCGCCATAAGCTCTCACCCGACCAGTGGTGTTTGAGTAGAGAGCTTGTATGAGGTTGATGTACTTATTTGGTACACCTTTCAATGACAGACACTGCCACAGAACCTCACGATCCACTGAGTCAAATGCCGCCTTAAGGTCCAGGAAAACAACTAAAAAAAAATATTTTCCATCATTATCAATCAAGTGTACTGTAATATTTTATAAAAAGATGAAAGCTGCATGACTAAACCGTCCAGCTTAAAGAACACAATTTCAACAAGATTGTCATCCATTCATCTGAAAAATACATTCACATGCTTTTTTGTTCTTCTATATGTTAGATATGCTGAAGTGAATATTAGCTCTTTTGATGCAGTTGATGTTGTGAGTTGCTGGTATTATAATAGGATTGGATTTATAATTACCTACTTCAGAGAAGTTTGACAAAAATCTTACTTCACTCTACGTTCACGATAATAGAACTCAGGATGCATTCATAAAATGATAGTTTACAGTGGTTAATTTACACAAATAAATTAGGATCATGGCAAGTAGATTAGATAAACAATAATTGATTATGACGTATAGTGAAAGTCAAGTAAGCAGTAAGGTATTGATCAGAGCAGTTAAACACGAGAGAGGAAGAAATTTGATCCTAACTGTACACCAACTGAGGTGCATAATACCCTTCCAAATTCCCAAATATGATCTGTGCAATAACCGCGACATGGACGGTGAGGTAATTCGAAAAGTAAACATGTCACAGTTTGGGCAGCCGGATAGTATCCCAAGCCACACAAACCCAATGTGTGGCTTATGTTTTGGTCCTTCTTTGTACTGGTGCTTGTAGTTAAATAAAATAATAGAAATTATGATGTATCTAAATACGTCGACAACAGTGGTTAGGTAAAAAAAACAAAAGTGACTTAGTTGTGTGAAAAATGAAACCTTGGTAAATAACAGCGAGTATAAAGATGGATTTTTTATTATTCTAGATTTAATGGTCACAGTAGCTTACCTTAGGTTCGTTAAGTTTACGTCTTTTTTCATCCATAACCGAACCACCCGTTGGGGTTGAACTGCTGAGACCCAGATTACCGCCAGGTGTAGGAGTCATCGGCGGAGGAAGCAATAGGGGATTGGTCAGTGCAGATAAACTTGAAGGAAGGCCGGAAAAATGAGGTCCTAGTTGCATATTACTTGGGTTGTTTGATCGACCTCCAGGTCCCCCAGAATCATCTGTAGATGAACTTCGACATGGCTGCTGAGAGATTGATGGGAGAGATGATGGGGATCTCCCGATATCACCACCCCCTAGGCCCGCACTAAGTGGGAAGGCACCTGGAAAGCCAGGAAACTCGCCACAACCACCCAGCAAACCAGTGATTGGATTTGGCGGTGGAGGGACTAAACAAGGACCATTACCAGATGAACGGTTCGATAACAAAAAACTACCTGCCGCTGCAGCCGCAGCGGCAGCTGCACGCTGTTAAGGGCAGAAAAAAAAGACAAAAACACGTCATTAAATTTCGGCTACTTATAGTTATATGGAAAGATCGGAGTTAAGCTGTAAATGTTGAAAAACGAACCATCAGATAACAAAATTCGCTACTTCGATATCTAAAATCATTAATACAGGAAATCTTCCGTCCTACCGCACTATTAAGATTTTCCAAGTTCATCTACCTCCTTTTACTGTTTAGGTCCTACAAAATCATGAATTTGGGCGATAGACGCTAAATCTTAATTTTGTCGTGAAAAGCTAACAAACGTAACGTTGTTAAAACACCAGTTTGATACCTCTTTGATTAGAATACTGTGGGTTTTCGGACTGCTTAAATCAGCTTCAATATTCTTAAGCAGTTCCATAGAAGAATAAAAATTAAGTTTAGGTACTGACGACAATGTGCTAAGACGTACATAACAACTCGAAGCATCTTGCAACGGTTCAAAAGACTGATCAGAAACAAGATTAGAAAAATCAACTAGTGAAAGATTTATTAATGTTTTTGAGACACGGGGAACAAATTTACGTCACTATGGTCAATTCTTTAAACAGATTACCAAGAGTTTATACACAAACTACAAATTTCTATCATCTCTAAAACCCTAACCACGATGCACATTTCCTACATGCCTCAGATCAGTGGCTTACTGGTAAATGACTTAACATAATGATGACTTAACTGTCTTTACCGCTAATAGGAACTATACTGTCTGCAGTAGCTGAAACGTATATTAACACTAATTTCATGGATCATGACAAGTTTACTAGGCTCTGAAAAGTTAACAAGTCATGTTCAGATCCAGAACTGAGTCGATAGTGACTCAATGTATAACATGATAAACACTAGTCACGAAGGGTGATACTCACCTGTTTATCTTCATTACTCATTAACTTTTCGGCTTCACGTCCCAAAGGAGATATCCTTGAACCAGAAGACTGTAGCATGAGAGCTCCCGACCCAACAGATGCTGCACCGGCTGCTGACATCAAACCATTCAACAGTGCGGCCGAAACTGATGGGTTGCCAGATGGAGAAAGAGAGGGAAGCAGATTGGATGTCTGAGAGTTAGCAGACCCTGGCTGAAGTGATCCAGGAGTACTGGACGATGCACCCCCAGTAGAATGGTTAGAAGTCAGATTATTGGCGTGTAATCCAGAAACACCTGAGTTAGCACCCCCAATGACGGATAGCTGCTACAAAAACGTATTAGTTTACACAAAGAATACCTTGTACGCCTCGAACTGTTCTAATGGGAGCCCTGTGTTGTTTCCGTTGAAGAACTTCGAGGATTTTACATCTTCGATTTGTGCCTAAGTGTTAACAACAATGTAAATAGCTGAACACTTACTGCTAAGACTGAGTTTAACTCTTGCATTGTCACTTGTTTAGCTCTTTCAATGGCTGACAGAACTTGAGATTGGTGCTACGAATTTGTAATGAGCATAAAATTCTTACCTCTTGTGACAAGAATGGTAATACTTGCGTCAAAATAGCGCTCAATCTTTTAGAGATTTCCATCTACCGAAGGGTAATAGGATGATAATGACTTACCTGTCTGTGCATTTCTAGGTTTAAACCATTAGCCATCTCATAATACATTACACAAATTCGTTGCATATCTGATCGCTCACTAAGGAGCTTTTCTCTTTCCAGCTGCAGCCTAAAGATTTATTATTGCAATAGATAGTCATACGAGTGGTTTTGTTGTTGTATACAAGTGAACTCTTCTTTTATTCTATCACAAGTTTCTACTACAGTAAACTTGCATGAACCCCCTGGCCCAGAAGGCCCCTGAAATAATATGTGTAAAGCAGGGATACAAATGGAAAGCAAATATACTGTTTAGCAAAACTTACAGGTGGTCTGCTCGGAAACATGAGGCTATGAGGAGACAGATGCCCCAATAACGAGAAATCCACGATCCAAACAGTAGACACAAAAACAGACGGAAAGGTGGATTCAAACAAGACGTGTGGAGTCTATTTTGTCTTTCAATGTTCCACTTACTGATAACAGATTTACATTTCATAAGCGATTCATCGAAAAACATTTCACCACTCAGAATATATTTTGACATGTAAATTTTATCACATAATATCTAGTTTAATACAGGCATTAAATTCCATATCGGGAAATAATTTGGATTGGCATCTCCAAATCACGTCTCATATTTTAAAAAGAGGACCTGTTCCTGTGGTGGTAAATGAATCCTTAAAATAAATAGTGCTTTAATTCGCGGACACAAATGCTGGCCTTAGTGGCTTACCTAGACAAACCCTAGCTGAAGACTCTTAGTCAATCAGACTCACTAGATCACCACTGGGTCCGTCGGGATGCACTCCTTTCATAAATAAGGGTCAGCTTAGCTCATATACTTCTCGACACAGACTAGTTTCCAGATGTGCCTTCAAAATCCTTTTTCTTGACTTTTAGTTAGATTCGGTTCACGATTCTCGATTATGTAGTTTTTACTTTTAAATACTAATTCTTCCTTGCTTTCCGCCTTGTGACTAATGTCATCTCGGTTTGGAGAGATAGAAATATGCTCTACCTTCTAAGGTTACTGCAGGTCCAAACACAATGGTAAAGGTTTGAACATATGGTTAGCTACCCCATCTTAACAAGCTTACAATAAAATCGCCAAGCAAGAAATAATTTTAAACTGTTCAAACACTTTCCTGGGAGTTGGAAGGTCTACATTTAGAGAGGTTTTGACGCCTCAGTGAAAGCCGAGTTTCCTCAGAAGTAATGGGGACGATGCCCTTTCTGGCATGGACTGTACGCATCTTGTGCGAGACCGGGAGAACTATTGAAGTTACTGGTGGTACTCATAGGCAGGCTAGACTAAAAGACTAGTTTCAGAAGTCGCTGTTTTACTCCCGCCATCAGGAAAAAAATGACTCTCATACACAAGGAATTGCACTGACGCTATCCAAACAAGCACGAAAGGCACTGATAGGATATGAATCCCATGAACCCAGGATCATTAAAGCATCCTTCAAAACAAAGGAAAAGGGGGTTACAGTGAACGTCATCCAATGTTATACACATACCAACGATTACAATGAAGACGTTAAAAATCAATCGCTGAGAAATGACCAACAAAAGACTTGACCTTTCTGATGGGAAACCTGAATGTCAAAGTTGGAACGGACAATACCGGATATGGACTGTGAGAAAGGAAAGAAAATGGTGCCGGATTAGCAATCCTGTTTTTCTTCCACTGACTGATCATAGGTGGTACCATATCCCTTCACAAATTCATACTTAAATCTACGTGAGTTTTACTAGATCACACTACGGAGAACCAAACCGATCACATCTGTGTCAATAAAAGGTTCGGAAGGCCAATGGATTATGCAATAACAAAAAGAGGAGCTAACATAGCTTCAGATCGTCACTCGGTACCGATCAAAATGAAACTGGAACTCAAGAGGTACAGGATAGCTGGTTGAAAATCATCACAAGTGCTTAATACGAGCTTTCTTCGGGGTCAAGGAAGCAGTAACTTCAGAATGACATTAGTTTCTGGGACACAAGGAGTACCGCTACAAAAAATGGACCTCAGTGGATAATCTGGATAAGATTCAAGAAAGCAATAACAAGAAGGCAGCAGTCAAAATCTGCCAAAGAGGAGCAGAGAAAACAAAAGCACATGCTGGATACACAGAAGCAAGTGAAACGGACCATCAGAACTGGTTGATAGACGTATGTGGGGTATCCAGCAATGTTGACAGAAAAAGCAGAAGGAGAAGGAAATATGAGACAAATATACCATTGTGGAACAACCACTTGAATAGGATTCGCGACTGTACATCAATTTAACTGACTACTAGAATGAATTTGACAGCGTGGACAGGATGGCAGTATGAAGGATTCCTTACACAATGGAGTGCCTGAGAAGTTAACCAACAACACAACGGATACTTATGTTTAAGCTGCTGGATCGCCCATGGAGAACAACTCACAGACGATCTAGCTGTTATACTCTACACAAAGCAACTTGTGCAGGATACGACATCCATGGTAGCAACAGCCTATGCAAAAGTAGGTATGACCATACACCAGCTAAAAAGGAAGATCCTCTGATACAACACAGCATGCACCAACCAAATCACACTTGATGGAAACAGTGAACATCACTTGTGTAGAACTAGAATGAAGAGCCCAAGTCAGAGTCGGTCGGAGACATTTTAGCCTGTCAGTCCTTGTAGTAAGTGTTTCAGTAGTGGTTTAGTGCAACATTTTTACACAGAGAAGGAAATCTAAATTTCATCTACGTGAGTAGTTTCAACTTGAAAATATAGCAACTTTATTAAGTAGATGTTGCTAGACAATCTAGCACGTTCATATAAGAAGTAAAGTACGACTGTTTTGCCTATCATTTACCGATAGTTGATAAAAACTTTTAACTTACTTTAAATGAATCAGAAATTGACATCAGTAAACTTTTATTGCCTGCTTATCTTCACAGAACCGTATGTGGGTTAACTTATACTATAATCAGTAGCAGTAGTATGCAGCCAAACGAACTTCATATTACAGGGGACCTGGATTCGCATGGTTTTGACTTTTGCTGTTTTCACGGATGTAATCTGGTCATAAGGATATTTGGAAGATGTGCATGGATTTAATTGAAAGCATTTAGCAACATTTGTAGTTAACAAATGTACATTATTATGATAAACATTTAGTATATCTCATAAAATCTAATTCAATACCACTTATAAACTGAGCTTCATTCTTACTTCCTGGCACATCTGTGTTAAAAATCATTTTAAATGTGACGAAACCAAGTCCGAAATGGAGTTCACGGATGTCAACCCTAAAACTATCAGGTCAAAATGTTTAGTTGAATTAACCATAATGAATGAATTTTCCGTGAAACATTTATGGATTTTGTGAAACGATATTCCTCAGAAAAAAAACAGTTTTTTGTAGTTAAGTTTGAAATATTGTCTTAAATCAACCCTGGCACAGTTAGCTAACTTCTCATAAGTAAAAACACTAATTTTTTGCGTCTTCAAAACAGCCTACTCCACCAAACAACTTGACTAGATTTTAAGATGCAGTTCTGGGAATATACTCTTAATCACAACATACACTTAAGCTACGAAACTGCAAATAACTTCAAATCGAAATAACATAATCACCCAAACTTGTGATGATTTTACTTTTCAGAAAAAAATACGATTGGTTAAATAGCAACATTATTCATTATAACCCATTGTACCACTTCTTTGGCTGCTCTGCACCTTTGTTTATTCTCTGGCAAGTTTCAGTTTTCCTTAGATACTGAAAAATCGTCAGCAAATGCACCAATTTCATCTGATCTATCCCATCTTCCTTCTCCCGATAAAAGATTTGGGATGACGTGTGAAACTGTAACGCGATTCATATATAGATGCTTCCAGAGTCCCGTGACTCGAACCTCTCTACTACCTTTTCGTATAGCTACAAATAATAAAAGAATTAGTTTATTTTTGGTTACTTTCATATATTTTTAAACATAACATTTTAAGTTAGATCACAGTTATCATATTTTATTGTGACACCATTGAACTGACAGTTGTTCTGTGAAGCACACTATTGTATTTGCTAAGAGAATTCAATTTCTTTGTTTGTATATGACTGCCAAAATATCTGACAGTAAGTGGTTATTTTTTTAGAATTAACTTGTAACCTTCCATAAGGTCAAGACTGTGTAGTGGGACACTTCTACGAAGAAAACGCGATTAGCGAAACATAAACATTAACCATTGAACTCGTTTTGTTTAGCCGTACCAAAAATACTTACTTGCGCGCAACGTTCTTTTACGCGTTGCTGCTCTATGTAACGCCTGCTTTCTCCTTCAAATAAATATTGAACCACGGATTTATTTCTGTAATTCATGACGGGATAGTAATGAATATTTAGTGGTGATCCTAGTCAATCGCCACTTGGTCACCACTAAAACTGTTTGTTGGTCTAAATCATGAGACTTTAGATGAGACTCCATTTTCATGTTAGAAATTTTTATTTGCCACTAATGCTGACGAAAATAGAGTTAGACTGGGACATATTACGGAAAAGTTGAGTCCCTACCTACCAGGTGAGGAATCTTGTTAAATACTTGCTTGCTGTCTGCAGGAACTTTTAGGCTGAACGTTCTTCAAGTGCTTAGATCGGTCCTGTGCTGCTCACTCGTACACGTTGAATATTATTCTAAACCTCCTGTGACGGCCAGCATAACTGAGCAGCAATGACGCCAGAAACATTTATTTGTGACTACCACTGACATTTCCTCAGTGGTTAAGCATGTGGCTTACTGGTATTTCGAAATTTTCCGAATACTGTAACAGTTACCTGTGAAACTTTATCTACTTAACTGGGTAGTTTACAAATGGCAGCATGGATAACGGCATGTCCGGAAGGTTCTATAGTTACATTTACCCGATGCTAGGTCCAACTCCAAATGAACTTGTTCATCCTCAGAAAACACGTAACTTTGTGTTTCGTATTCAGGAATAACCCAGGCAATTTACCGCAATTGTTGTTAAGTGTCCTTCAAAGCAAACCGGATTAAATGGCGTAATAGAATGAGCAAGCTTGAAGGAACGTCCATAGGATGAACTCTTGTAGGTATCACTACTTCTTTATCTTTTTGTTGCATTATTATTACCTTCCATCTATAAACATTCTATATACACGTTTGTAGTGCTTTTTTCTCTAAAAATCTCTTTAGTTGATGATTGAGAGAGTCCATGCTATCAGAGTTTTGACAAAAAGCTTACTGGTCAAAATTTCACGTTTGCACTAGCCGACAAACATACTACTTGGCTAATAGGCTCAAGCAGTGACTACAACTACACTTACCTTATGAAAAGTCCTGAATAGGTGGAATGAGCACATTATTATATTGGTGTGCATATGTATACTATTGACTACTACTATTTCAGCTTGTTCACAGCCCATGACAAACGTTCATGTGCGTGC